ATCAGTATATTTATTAGACTTCAGTAAAAGTATAATGGATGATACGACTTTGGACTTTAGTACGAAAGTATGTACATGGAGTGTTAGACGTTAGGATTAAAATGTATAGTAGGGGCTCTTATTTGTTTTTTTTATATAAATAAACGTTTATTTAAACCCTTTATCGAGGTAATACAATAATGCGAGTACAAGTTTTAGCTTCACAGTTAAGACAAGTGGGTATACATTTAAATTCAGTTATAAAAATAAAATAATATAATATAAAATTAGTTTCTTAGGTACTTATAAACAAAATATTGAACTGAAATAAAAATAAAATAATAAGGAACATTAACACTTTACCTATAGGCCTAATTTAAACTTCCACTTTTTTCTTTTTACCAAGAAAACTTAATACTGTAGAGAAATAAATATTTTTATCACAAGTTTGTTTTACAAATACTTATCAATATTTTAGTTGTCGGTAACTTAAAGTTATTTATTAAAAATAAATGTTGTACTTAAGAAACAGTGATAAACGTACCATTTTTATAACAGTGGATTGTACTCTAGTTCGTATAAGAAGTGTCTCAATTGCTTAATATATATTGCTGTGTTAATTAAAACATTAATAATATATGTTACTATAAATATGTTATATGTTTATTAATTAAACTTCAATTGATTGCAATATTTTTATACCTTACGGTTGTTTATATACCTAGTTAATAAAGTAAATCAACTATTACAAGATTTTAAAACAATCTTAATACTTTTAAAAGATAGTAGGTACCTATTCTTGAGAAAACGATTTCCAAGAATCTCTTTGATTTAATATCAGATGATCAGACATGGATATATTATGTACCGTTAAATAACTTTATAGGAATGTAATATAATAATATTCATATTTATTTTCAAACTAAATAATGCAATGTAGAACACTATAAAACAACGAATTACAGCAAAATAATTTTATCATATTACTATGACGTCGCATTATCCAAACCTTTTATACGTCATCTTTATAAAAACAAAATAATGTATATACATTTATATTTTATTAATTATCTATTTCTAAAATAACACACTGTGTCAATATAAATGCAGTCAAAGAATATTATAACATGGAAGGTTATCTATAATAGCAAATACGATTAGACGTATTTACGTAGAATATATAATATAATGTACTATACAAACATAAGAATATTATAATATATATATATATCATAGTATATAATATTATATAATATAGGTACCTATTCTGAAATTCAAATTATATTTTTGTCAATTCGTCCCTTTATAAAGGTTCGTGTTTTTTAAACTTTTAAACTGTATTTCCAGCCAATTTAAACACGAACTGATATTAAATTTAAATTTTGAACTAATAAAAAAATACCTACGTAGAACGGTTTTGCGTGAAATACTTGAACAGAGATAATATTATTATGATTTATTATTCACAAACGGATTGAGTACTCAGATTTTATATCCAGGCATAAAAATACAATTTTGTAAACAATGAGCATTGAGTGATTTCGATATTATACCGACCATTTTTAAGGAGTTTAATATTATAGACAACTGTTTAAAAATGTCTTGAAAATGTATGGTATATATTAGCTTATAGGGGTATCTCCCAAATGTATTTTCCTCATTATGGAATAGTTTAGGCGACTGCATGAGGTACCTAAACAATTATGCACCTACTCGTAACGGTTATCGCCTGTGAGGCTGCAAATATAATAATGTTAGAACAACAACAAGTTGTATCATTTAAATAGTAAACTAACATTCTGTATTTTCAAATAGATTATTTCTTTAGGTAAGTACCTACTAAAATGTTGGTGCAAATCTGCCTGTGTGTGCTGTGTGAGGATGTGCATTAATTAAATGATTATAATGCATTACAGAGATTTATACACGATTTAAAAAAGTCGGTACACGCAACTGAGACGCTTGAAAATTATTGTAAAAAATTCCATTGAATAATGAAGAAATCACTTCATTACGGACATTATATTATAAAACTATCTAAAATAAAAATATTTAATTCTAGCAGTTGTAGCATAATATTGATTTTCTATCTAATGACGTAATAAGTATTCGCACAGAATCGGAATTAAAATTCTCAAATAATAATGTATTATGCATAATATACCTACTGCTACATTAAGGAAGATAGTTTTTAGGGTTCAGTACAGTAAAACGGGACCCTATTACTAAAGCTCCGATGTCCGTCCGTCACCAGGCTATATCTCATGAACTATAAAAGTTGGAAAGTTGAAATTTTCACAGATTATGTATTATTGTTGCCACTATAACAACAAATACTGAAAATCCTAGAATATATAATACAAGAAGTGTTGTTGCCAACATGTACATAGATGATGGTACGGAACCCTTCGTGAGCGAGTCCGACTCGCACTTGGCCGAGTTTTTATATTTGTTCATGATGGTTGGATGCGCTACATTTCTAATAATAATTTGAAAAGCGTTTGTTTTAACATAATATGTAGTAAGGTTACACTGCTGTTGTACGAGAAATTAAAGAACATTAGTGTGCGAGTGTCTACATCACGTGTCCTAAACCAACCACACATGGCCACACCGGCAAAAAATTCAATATTACGTCTACGTACTCCATCATCCATATCTATTCCATAGTATGATGAAAAATTACTTTGGGGTATAAGACTAATCATAAGCTAAACCAAAAAGTTGATTTTTGTTCCACACTTTGCCACATTTTGGGATAATTTCAAACTGTATTTTTGATTGTAATGAAACTATAATTCAATAGATTTATCAAACAAATTCTAAAATTATTTTGACCCCGATTTTTTTATTGATGAAATTTAATGTTATATTAAACGGTAGGTATATCTGTTTATCGCGTATTTGATGTTGGTTGTACAATATACCGTAGGAAGTTTAATACTGTTTCTATAAAAATGTACTATGTATTTTTCTTTTAAAAAATGTATGTTTGTTTGTCTGAGTTTTATATGAACACTCAAGACAATTGAAAAACTGAAATGTTAATTTAAACATTGTTATCTTAATCCGAGAACGGGTTTTGTTTAACTACAAAACTAGGTACATATTATTATTATAATATGCGCAGATGTTTTGCTATACAAAATTGTAGGTACTATAGTAATGTGCCTACATAGTCACTTATAAGTTATAAGCGTTAAAGATCATTAATGCATCATAGATAGCATATTAAAAACATAAAAAAAAAAATTAATTACAAGGCACTTAATGTTGCCAACAAGGGTTCAATAGTTTCATATTTTTATCTTTTGGTAGTTTGTGACCTAACCACCCCTATAAGTGTATTTATCTTCTGCTAGCTGGCATGAGATAATTAAAAAATGTATAAACTATTTTAATAATTATTCAATATGTTTATTTACAAATTCTAAAATTATTATGACCTGGTATTTTGAACTATTTTCATTGATTGAATATAGGTAGGTACATAATATATATTATATGGTAGGAATTTGTTTATCACGATTTTGATTATTTTAATAATAAGTTATATTTATTAATACAAATTATAAATGTTTTGTGGCACAATATAGTTTAGGTACGAATAAAATAAGAAGTCTACATATTTCAAAAAAGTCTGAATTTTAATTTAGTTTTTTGGCTTTATTGAGTAATTAATACCTAATACATATACAGGCTGTGGCAAAGCCAACTGAAGAGTTTTGAAGGGCTATATTAAATAACAAACAGTAAAACTTAGAGAAAAAAGTTTTTTGTTTTGTTTGTTTTATCTGGTAGGTCAAAAAGCTACAACAATTAATGCAAGACTCCCGATATATGGTTACAATAGTAGTTGAAAATAACAAAAATACATAAGCACAATTTTTCTTATAAGCATTTAAAGTTCGATTTTTGACAACATTTATAAAATTTAAAAATTATTTTGTAGTTAAAATCTTCTATAGATAGCTAAGGATTGATAATTTTAAGCAATGTTCCACGTAAGTAGGTTATTCAGTTACCAAAAAATCTCAAAAATATAAAAACAGAGTTTTTTTTTATTATTATTTTATGTTAAAATTTGGACGAAATTACATATTAAATAACCAAGAATAACGATTTTAGTTATTTTGTTGTAATTTTATAATATAAATTCAACTTTCCGGCTACCGTCTTAATAATAAGTAATGGTTATGGTAATTAATGTGTATATTATAGTGGTAATTTTGCTGTATATTTAACTGTTTCAAATCTTAGTGTTTGACAAAATTCTACTAGTGCGCCATCGTTAAAAAATAACAGGTTTACAAATAGAGTAAGTAAAAAATATTTTATATTAATTGATAATTTTTTTCTGGACGAAGACAGCTTTTACAGCTATATCAAAAACCAACCTTGGTTAGGTTAGGTATCAAATATGCAGTAGGTTAAATTAAGTAAAAACGATAAAACTTGGTAGAACTTTAAAGCTTTAGAGGTAAATTATATACTTACGTACGCACCTTGTGAGATCCACAATCTGACGCAATGGAGATGGCTATAAATTAAAATATTATATGACTTACAGTTAAAACACTGAGTTAAGTACACAAAAAAGGAGTTGAACAATCACCACAATATTTCTTTTACAGACAACCAATTGTAATTCAGCTTGTGTTTATGTATATATAGGTATATAGATAGATAATTTTGATGTCGGTTAATTAAAATTCATATTGGATTTGTGTGAATAAAAGATGAAACATTGCTTATGATACTCAGCGGGTCTTGCCGAATATTTTTCAGTAACTTCGACGAAAATCAATCCATCAGTGATGGAGATTAACCAAACATCTGAATGCCTACGTATTTATATAGATATAGGGATTGGAAAAGTTATCCACGAATACAGCCACCCTCTCAAATCTTCCCAGTGATAGGAATAACAACACAAATTAAATTAATGCATATATTTTATTAATACTGTATTATACAACTAAGACATTATTACATGATCTGAAAGAAATTTCTTAGTTAAATCAACATATGTACTTTCCATACGGACCATAACACCACTTTTTATCATCAGGTATTAACGAGGCATGTGAATTTTTAAGTAAATCTCTTAAAATAAAATCATATCGACTTGTAACATCAGAATAATGTCCATTTCCATTAAGATATAACTTTTTTTTTATTATACCAGTATTAGTTTTATCAAATTCTGGTGTGAAAGGTGGATTAGATTGTTGATAGTTCAATGTTAATGCTGCTTGATTAATAATAATCATCATTGATAAAACAACGAATATTTGCACCGGAAACATTTTTTCTATAAAACAATGTAAATACATAATAAAATAATAAAATACATAGTGTTACTTTTAACCATGTACAAATGTAACAATTACATTTGTTAGTATTAGATAATTCAAATTGTTGTATAAAGATCATTAGGTACTTTTACACAAAAACTTAGTTGGTCAAACTACTATCAATTATTTGTCTATACAAATATTATAAATGATAACCTGACTATATTTTTATTTCATTATTAAAAATTTAAAGAAAATTATTTTATATAGGTACTGAAACCTAGAAGTAGGTACCTACTTATATATTTCTATTTATAACTGTTTAAAAATAATAATATACAGCTTATTATGGTATTTCCGTTGGGAATCTCCACGAAATGTTAGGTCCTTCAGATGCTATACCATTTTGTTTATTCAACAAAATGTTCAAAGCTTATTATTAAAAAAATTATGCAATATTAAATTACGTTGAAATTGCATAACTCTGAATACTATCATTGGAGATTCAATTCTTACTAGAACTAGAGACATTTCTGGTTACAGCTAAGTCTGTTTATTGTTTATCATTCACATATCATTACTTAATATACAATTAATGTTTAATATATATTTCTGTGTTAAACCAGAATACAATTTTCAATTTTTAGATTAAGTGGTAACCTCTAAAGTATAACAGATAATTATACATAGGTACCTAGGTAAGAACAGTTAATAGTTGAACATTTTTGTTTTAGATTCTGAGTGAAACGATGAATGTATTGATTTTACAATGATGTGTGTTTTTTTTTTTTTTTTTTTATTTTAGATTCTGAGCGGAGCGATGAATGTATTGGTTTTACAATGATGTATGTTTTTATATTTTTATATTTTTATTTATATTTTTATATTTTTGTGTCTGTCATCACGTTTTAGGACAGTAAAAGTGCTTCGATTTTCTTCAATAGTACCTTTTCTGATAGGAAAGTGAATCTAGTTGGTACTTTGGGGGGTCAAAAGTAAACATTTCCCAGTAGTTTTCACAAGCGCCGGGAAAAACAACATAAAAATTGAGGAAAAACGGGAATTTTTACGCAAAATTGGTTTTCCAAAAAATCGATTTTAGTTATTGGTGTAACTCTAAAACAAATGAACGTATATACATGAATTTTTCACTGGTTGTTAATATTTGCATTTTCTATACACGATAACATTTTCAAAATATTTTGATTTATTTTGAACTGTTTAGGGACATTTTCATTTTCCATTTTTTTTTAGTTTTTTTTCTAAAAATATCAATAAAATTTTATTTGTTGGTTGCGAAAGCTTGAAAATTTAATAGAAGGCTCCTAATATGTTGTTTCAAAGGCAGATGAAAAATATTAAAAATCCTTAGTCACAATTTTTTTTTATAAGCATTTAAAGTTCAAAAATTGACAAAATATGGAAAAATCACGAAAATTAGCAAATTATTTTGAGTTAAGAATTCGTAAAAATTTTTCTTTTAAATCTAAGATTTGAAAATGAAACACAAGATTCCTTATAAGATTATCTACCTTTATCAATAAAAAAATCTCTACCGGACAGTCAAATTAAATTTTTATGAGCGTTTGAAATTCAAATTTTTACAATATTGGATTTTCACTCGATTTCTCATGTAGCGATTTCCTTATTTTGTTGTAATTCAAAAACGAATAACTGTAGATACATGAAAATTTCACTGAATGTTTATATTAGCATTTCCTATACACCATACAATTTTGAAAAGATTTTGACTCTTTTTGAGCTATTTACGGACATTTACCGCTTTCAATTTTTTTTAGTTTTTTTTTCTATAAATATCAATAAAGTTTTATCTGTTGGGCCAAAAAGTGTAAAAATTTAATACAAGGCTCCTGATATATTGTTACAATACCAATTGAAAAATATTAAAAATACATAGGCACAATTTTTTTTATAAGCATTTAAAGATCGCATTTTGACAAAATTTATCAAAATCTCGAAAATTATCAACCATCGTAATTAATAAATTATAAAATGTTCAGTTTTTATAGCTAAGGATTGAAAATTAAAAAAAAAGATTCTCATAAATAGTTCATACTGTAGCCAAAAAAATCTAAAAAATATATGAGCACAGTTATTTTTTACAGACATTTTAAGTTCAAATTTGGGATGAAATTACATATTAAAAAACCTAGCATACCTATTTTAGTTATTTTATTGTGAGTGTATAATACTATTTGTGAGTACTTGAAACTTTTAAAGTACACTATATTATATATCAATGATAGTATCAGGATTTGTTATTGATGTATGTTATAAGTACCTAGTGGATATTGTGATATGATTAATTTGGAATTTATTATAGGTACCTATTATAGGTCAATTTTTTGTTTAATACCATAGATATGTATATAATATGTCTTAAACCTAGACTGACATACCGTCTTCGCTCAGAATCGTTTTTCTTATACAATGATATTGTATCATTGAATTCAAATTTAATACCATCCATTATACAGTGACCCACTTGTAATCTACTGTACAGCAGAGCGACATCCACTTACCCACCTTTTGTTATTGTTTAATTTAAATGTTGACAATACTATCAAAGGTAAAATAAACATAAATATTTTTAATAACAAAGAACAATGCAATAGGTACCTTAATTTCAACTTGAAAAATATAGGTACTTTAGAAAAAAAGCTTATATGGAGGTATTCTATCCATAGGTATACATAATATAGAGTAATTGTTATTTTCGTGACATGAATGTAAACTATACTGAACTTATTTATTTTATGTTTAATTGGTCCACGACATAGATAACTATTTTTGTACACATCTGAAAACATGAAGTTAGTTTTGTATATCTTATGATCTAATTTTAATTGTAACTATACCTAAGGTTGTTCTTTTCATTTAAAAATAATAACTAATATTTAGTAAATTTAAATAATATATTTTAAGTACAAACCTGATATTTTGATGTCCGTCGATTATATATGAGGTGGAACTCTCTAATGACTATGATAGTTTCAACCTGCACTATTTAAACAATTTTTTTTACTATGTATAGTTTTAATTTTATTATATTAACGTAAAAAAATTTTTTATGCATTGTAAAATTGATAAAGTTTATGCATTTTGACGTGTTACGTTATAAACTTATCATCGGTATATCGGTAGTTGATAATGACATTGAAATATGTAATTATGTTAAACATAATATTTAAGCACCTACAATTTATTAACTATATTTTTCAACTTTTACGATTATTAAAAGTTAAATGACTTAATGTAGGTACTGGTAATTAGTTTAAATGTAAAATATATATTGCACCTGCATTTAGAGACATATTATAGTCATATTATAGTATATTATTATAGCCAATTTATAGCATTGCATACTTATGTGTAAAATGTATAATGAGTATTACCTATTTATAATTATAGATTGATATATTTAATAGCATTATTTAAATATGAAAAAAAATAAATTATAAATTATTATATTTAATGTTATTTATTTGGCAATTTGGTTTTTGGTTTTTAATATTAATCAGTCAAATTTCTATACTCGAAGGTAAGAAATAAATAAAATTATGAAGGCCATACAGCATTTGGGAAATGATAATATCTTGTGAATATTTTAAAATGTTTGAATAATGAACATTGGACTAATAATATTTTATAAGTATTTTCTTCTCATTATAACAAAATATTCTATTATATGATTGCATAAAAATGTTGAAATAATATTTTTATAAAGTTGCCGTAAAAATGTTTTTTGAAAATAAATGATTTAAATGTTTTGAATTCCTTCCTCCCAAATCTCCCATCACGCAAAGAGTCACTAGTGGGTGACTTCTTATCTCGCTTATCATGTTTTGTTTGTCACTTGTCACTTATACTTATTATGCTATAAAGTATAGATTGTATAATTATTATAAAAAAAAAAAAAAAAATGTTTTGTAAATGTTTTTTAAAAAATATTTTATAATTATCTAAGCAACTTTTTTAAATATTTTGACAACTATGTTATTTTCCTGAAAACATTTTTACCATAGGTAGGAAATATTTGTTAGCTGTGTGGGATAGGTATAGGTATCAATGAAATGATTATGCCACTCTTTTACCACATCATTAGTGACAAGTGATTTATATCAGAAATAGGTAGGTAGTGTTAATAAACAAATAATATATTATTTTGATTTAATTTAATTTTGATTTAAGTAATTGACTATTTATTTAACATAAATACCTAATATAATCAGGAAAAACAAAAAAAAAAAGGTGGGTAAGTGGATGTCGCTCTGCTGTACTGTAGGTTACAAGTGGGTCATGGAGTATGGACCATGGTATAATGGATGGTATTAAATTTGAATTCAATGATATAATATCATTGTATAAGAAAAACGATTCTGAGTGGAGACGGTATGTCAATCTAGGTATAAGACATATACTTATCGATGGTATTAAAAAAAAATTGACCTATAATAGATACCTATAATAAATTCCAAATTAATCATATCACAATATCCATTAGGTATCATATATCCCCGAATACTATTTTTAAATTACAACGAAAAACCAAGATCGTTAATATTGATTTTAATATGTAATTTCGTCCAAATTTGGATTTAAAATGTCTGTAAAAATTAACTGTGTTCATATATTTTTTAGATTTTTTGGTTAAAGTATGAATTATTTAAGAGAATCTTTGTTTTAAATTTTCAACTCTTAGTTATAAAAACTGAACATTTTATAATTTTTTAATTCCAACGATTGATAATTTTCGATATTTTGATAAATTTTGTCAAAATTCCAACTTTAAATGCTTATAAAAAAAAATTGTGCCTATGTATTTTTAATATTTTTCAACTGTTATTGTAACAATATATCAGGAGCCTTGTATTAAATTTTTACACTTTTTGGCCCAACAGATAAAACTTTATTGATATTTATAGAAAATAAAAACTAAAAAAATTGAAAACTGAAAATGTCCGTAAACGGCTCAAAAAGAGTCAAAATAT